AAAATTTTCCGTTCTTTAAATTTCTCAAAAGCTTAATTTTTGTGTTTCAACAAATATATCCAAACTATTCTAGAGTTGTCATCAATGATAGATAAGAAATAGAAGTTACCACCATGTGTTGTTGTACTTGAGGCTCTCCACAAATCTGAGCAAATGTACTCAAGTACTTGTGTAGACATGTGTATTCTGATTGGAAATCTGTGCCTGTGTTGTTTTGCCAAAATGCAATGCTCGCAGAAATCATATTTGCTGATTTTGTCCTTTCCCACAAGATTCTGGTTGCTCATTAGTTGAAGACCCTTTTCCCTTCAAAATAATAACACCTTATGCAATATACATAAAGCCTTGCTCTATTTTGTTAGTATAATCCAAGTCATCAAGAATGCAAATAAAGATTAGGTTCTTAGACAATTCAAGTACATATCTAACATTTTCAAGAATTCTCACAACACCATCAACTATCTTTATGCTAACGCATCCTATACTAGCAGCTGAACAAGAATGGTTGTTACACATTATTACTTTACCTTCATCGAGTTTTTCATAGTCCAACAACCAATGCTTGTTACCCATTATTACTTTAACTTCATCGAGTTTTTGCTAGTACGACAGCCAATGCTTGTTGTTTGTCAAATGATAAGTGCAACTAGAGTCAAGGATCCAGACCTTGAGATTTCTTGTGGTAGCCTAGTTTTTGTTATTTGTCAGAATTAAAACATTTTTGAAAGGTAAGTACCGCGGTAGCAGCCGTAAATAGTAATTGGTACGTGAAAATAGAGTAAAAAGAGCATCTCAGGGTCTAGAGGAATCGAGGGCGGTCTAGGGGTTTTGCGGCTTAGATCACGGTCGGACGCCTTGGACGGAACGGACGGTTCATGCTAAAGTACTAGGACACTCCTTCGGCGGAACAAGAAAAGGAAAAGAAAACGGCGGAAGCTAGTGCCTTCGCCGCGAGCGCCTTCGGCGGTGCGCGGACGGAGAGCTGCACCGGCAGAAGTCCCGGGGTCAAGATTGAATGTACAAGTGTGGGAGTCCGCGCAACGGCGGAGCGTGAATTCGCATGTGCGAATCAGACCGTTACGCTTCAGCGCCGGCATAGCATTCAAGCGGGTCGCTGATAGCCCAAGTGTCGAACGATGAGAGTTCTTGATCGCTGAAGGAAGAGACTCACTCACGCATTTTCAATTTTGCACTCGCTTGAGTTTGCGACGTGCAGCAGGAGAATTCGCGGAGAGCTTGTCGAGAGCTTGCGGAGAGTTTGTCGAGAGTGCGGAGCAGGAGAGTTTTGCAGCCGAGTTCGCGGAGTGTTGTAGAGAGTTCAATGGCCAAGTCGATTCCGCTGCGGATGGTTCCACTGCGCGTGCCACAGGTCGGATTGCGGGCATTTCAAGATGAGTTGATGGCGGTGAAGCTCGACTTTCTTCTGTGGGGATGGAATTCGGTGTGCCCGACGATGGTCCAGGAGTGGATGCGCGAGAAGAACCAGCCTCCGCGAGGTTATCGACCGCACCCGGAGAAATGGCAAGTGAGTGATTGGGAGCAGGTCTTGGGACAATGCGCTGAAGAAGAAGGCGACCTCATGTTCGAGTGCGAGAGTGTGCATATTTCAAAGGAATAAGAAATTTCCTTCGCCGCACTTTTCACGAACTGCAAGTCGAGCAATAACGGGTACAGGACCCATGACTACATAGACCGCAAGCGGAGTAATGTCGCGGTAGCACTCCTCCAGATTTTGTAGCCGCACAGGACTACCTACATGACATCTTGGCAGGTGGGAATTTTGTGGCGCTGGCGTTGGGAGGTACTCTTATTCACTGGGCTCGCATTTTGTGGAAGGCCACACGGCAACATGCGCAAGAGGAGAAGGGGGGATCGATCAATCACCTCTCTCTTTTCTTGATCAACTTTTATCGGTCGATGTGGTGTCTAACAGCAGCGGAGCAGGTACAATTTCCCTTGCTGTCGCGGGCAAATCCGGGAAGGTATGTGAGGGATGTCGAGGTTGACACAGACCCCGACGAAGTGACCGCTAGCACACCACCAGCTCGACTGAGAACGGAAGAAGAACCGAGGGGAGCGTGGGCACCCCGGAAGCGAAAGTGGGATGGAGAGTCAAACATGAGTCAGCGGGAAGTGCCCACTGTTCCAGTCAAGCGTCGGGCAAACAACGAGCCAGCCCGACCGAAGCAGAAGGCGCGCAAGCTAATTCTGCTAGCAGACAGCAGCGCGGACACAGGGCGAGCCGCAGTTACGAGAAACTCACCATCCTCGGAGGAGGATGTGGGTGTAGAGGTTCTTAGGAGGTCGACTGATCTCCCTGCACCGAGGGCACGAGTGCCTTTCAAAGTGTGTAGGCCTTCCAACCACAGAGGAAGGCATGCGGCAAAGGCCAGAATGCCTGCGATGGAGAGGTGCTTGCCTTCTGAGCAAGTACCATTTGATGACTCGCCTTCGGATCAAGGGCCTTCGGCGCAGGAGCGGTTCAAGGAGGACCCTTCGGGTCAAACGCCTTCGGCGCAAAAACCCCTGGAGCAAGTTGCAGCGGGCGAAGGCAGGGATGGGGAGACACGTGTGCCTTCGGTGATGCGCCTTCAGCGGTAGTAGTCTGGGCATGTGTAGCAGGCCCACCTGGTGCAAATTCTCCCACCCTGTTGGAAGTATTGGCAGGACATGGAGTGGAGGCCGCAGTAGAGGAAGCTGCGCGACCCAGTGCGAGAGAATCGCCGAGGATTTCTGCGGCGATAGAGATCCTGGAGACCGAAGACGACACGCCTTCGGAGGAGGAGGAAGTGGAGTCGGTGCGAGGTACACCAACCGGTGTGCTCTGCGAGCAAGTGGTACCACTACTCTGGTACCTTGATCGCAAGGCGACCAAGTACGGGGATCCCCGCCATCGTGGATCCTATGTTGAGTTGGTTAGGAATCCGACTCGTATCAAAGTAGCGACGAATCCCGAGTTGATGGCCCTGGACCAGAAGTATCGGCAGCTGGAGTAGCGTTACAATTTTCTGCAGGAACAATGTACCATATCGCGGAAGCTGCAGAAGACAGTGATTCAGTTGCGAGATGAGCTTATGAGCAAGGCGCAGCGCAAAATTGAAGAGCGGCGTGCGAGGTTCGAGACGGAGATCAATTCCGAGCAAGCTCAAAACCGCATTCTGGCAGAGGAGCTCGTGCGGCAGATGCGGGCGTTAGAGAAGAGTGAGGCCACGAGGAAGGCAGACGAAGAATTACTGGGTCGACAGCATTCGTAGTGCGACGAATTGAAGGCGTAGCGTGCGGAGGCGGAGTTACAATTGGCAGAGGTTGAAGGCCACAACAGGCGCGCGACAGATGGCAAGCGGTAGGAGTTAGTTTCGTGGGTTGACCGGTGTCTAAGAGGTTATGCTCGCTGAGAGATCGCGGCACGGTAGAGAATGACGTTGCGCGAAATGGAGATACGTGCGGCAGCTTTGATGTCTGGTGACAATCGGAGTCGACGGCGCGTGGCAAAGCGGTTGAAGTCATTCCTGTCGAGGTCGCGGGACGCCATTGCGCACCTCGAGGCAGAGGTGACCGAGGTGTTGCGGCGGCTCGGACTGCGTAGGAAAGCAAACGAGTGGACAGGTAGGGAGTTAGTGAGTAGTTGGCCTTCTCATAGGAGTCATAGCCAGTGAAGTGTAGTGTTAGATAGTTAGGATTCTAAAGTGTATAAAGTAGTTCAAGGCGTTGGTCTTGGGGGATTTTCCAGTTTCGGAAGTTCAGTTCATAACGTCGTTTTCTCTGCGTGCTTGTGTCCTTCGTTTTGTCACTGCGCAAGAGGAGCTATAGCTTGTCGAAGCTACCGCATTTTATAGTTGAAGGCCTTCGACCGAATGTTCTGTGCTAGCAGATTGGCTAGTCAAGATTTAAGCAAGTTCGGACTTACACCTTCAGACGATTTTCCTTGTTTGTATTCCTTCGAGATTTTCCCCCCTTAATACCAAAACGAAGTTTTGTTAACTTTGGAGCAAGAGTTGGTTGAATTCAAGTTGTGTGTGTTACGCTACTTCAGGCGCCTTCGGGGGTAGCCTTCGCAGTACTTCTGGGAATGACAAGTGCCTGAGAATACAAACTCGTCAATAGACTGTTAAGTTGTAACACTGGGACTTTTCTCAACTTAGTTTCTCGGTTCGGATTTCTGTATTCTCTGTGCGTTTTGTGAGTTGAGTGTGTTGTTCACCGCGTGAGAGGAACTTCGGTTTGACGAAGGTACCGCATCCAAAGTAGGAAGTCCACCCCGAATGCTCTGCACTAGCAGTGGCTAGTGACAGGGTTTAAGCAAGTTTGGAGCTGGGTTACTACTTGCAGATACTCTAAGTGTACTCTTGGGAAACTTCCTCCCCTCCCATCTTCTTCAAAAACTTCTCTAAGTTGGCTTACAATGACTTTTACCCGATAGTACCCCACGGACAATAAAGGTCACTCATGTTCTCGTATCAACAGACGGTGCAGGTAGTGCAACTCTATCGCAGCGATAGCAACATTGGTTGTCTACTTGAGCTCTGTTGTTCATATCAAGCTCTCATCAATAATTCCATCTACCTATAGATTGAGTGCATTGCGCTCTCTTCAATCTATGAAGTAACTATAATTTCTACTTCATAATCAATAATCATATGATATCTTGGCTTCAATTGTGTATCTCCGGTTTACTTATAGCTGTTTATGAAGAGCAAATTCTCTTCATCAGGATTGCTCTAATTCTATTTCATGAACAAAGTCCATGCATAGATTGTCATATGAAACAATTGCAATGAGGAGCGCAAAGTGGAGTGTGAAGTTACTCTCGCATGATATGTGTATAGTAACATTATCTAGAATTTCACGATGATGTGACCTCAGAGGGATTTGTAGAATTTCGCAACGATGTGACCTTGGTGAGGTTTGTCGAGTAAAACTAAACTTGATGGGTCACATCAAGCAATTAGTTTCCAATGGGATTCCATCAAGTAAATAATTGCTGCAAACTATTGGTAGTGTGATCAGAACATCATACAATAATCTTGGTTATAATAGAGATTGAAAATGAGGCTCTTCACATGGGGAAATGTGAGAGTATGTCATCCTCTTCTACTTGATAAGTGATATTAACCACGGCCGGGGCAGCCAAACTTTAAGTAGCTTACCGAATTTTGTTTTAAGACCTGCTGTGATATAACTCAAGGAAACAAAAACTTAAAACACACAATTACTATACGATGCGACAGTCGATGATAGCTAGAACAAATTGAGCACGTCATCTTCACTTGCTATGCAATCGTCATACCAATTCCTCAAAGGGGGCCTTCTCTTTCAATCAGGCTTGAAGATTTTACTGAATGGTGTATCCTCCATGAACATGGTTACCTCAAGGGTATGGACCCTTCAAAGAGTCGTGATTCATAAAAGCATCCATGGAGAACCATACCATCGCTGTGAAGTTGAAACCTTCTACAAGATAAGTATAATCCTCAGACTGATCTGCGGTCCTCAGACTGATCCGACATATCTGTGACAGTCTTCAGTCCCTCGACGATCTTCTCTGTGGTGGCGGTGAGAGCAGCATCAGATTCAGCGGATGCCAGCGGGAAGCTGTAGGTGTCCTCGGCGTCTTTCAACGTGACGTCCAGCTTCTGGAACTGGATTGTTGCCGACGATTTCTGAGTAGGAATAAGCGCAATCAGGTCGAACGCCAACCTATCGATGACTGCTTCCAGACTCACAAGTGCCATTCTGATAGGCTCGAAGAACGGAATCATCGTGAGGATGCCGTGCTTGCCAATCACCACATTCAGCAAGGCCTGGTGGACCTGCACGAATGTCGTGAGGGCGTCGACGACGACCTGGGCATCAGCGTCCGGAAGGGGACCTGAAGTAACTCGGTCCACCCTGACGATTCCTTCAGAAACCTTCTGAATGATAGTTGCAAATCCACTGGCGATGACCGCTCCCTGCTGAGGAGCGTTGAAGATGTTGATCTTCTGGGTTGCAACTCTGAGCTGATCCGACATATCTGTGACAGTCTTCAGTCCCTCGACGATCTTCTCTGTGGTGGCGGTGAGAGCAGCATCAGATTCAGCGGATGCCAGCGGGAAGCTGTAGGTGTCCTCGGCGTCTTTCAACGTGACGTCAAGCTTCTGGAACTGAATTGTTGCGGAGGATTTCTGAGTAGGAATTAGAGCAATCAGGTCGAACGCCAACCTGTCGATGACAGCTTCCAGACTCACAAGAGCATATCTGATGGGCTCGAAAAACGGAATCATCGTGATAATGCCGTGCTTGCCGATCACCACATTCAGCAAGGCCTGGTGGACCTGCACGAATGTCGTCAGGGCGTCGACGACGAGCTGGGCATCAGCATCCGGAAGCGGACCTGAAGTGACGCGGTCCACCCTGATGATTCCCTCAGAAACCTTCTGAATGATAGTTGCAAATCCACTGGCGATGACCGCTCCCTGCTGAGGAGCGTTGAAGATGTTGATCTTCTGGGTTGCAACTCTGAGCTGATCCGACATATCTGTGACAGTCTTCAGTCCCTCGACGATCTTCTCTGTGGTGGCGGTGAGAGCAGCATCAGATTCAGTGGATGCCAGCGGGAAGCTGTAGGTGTCCTCGGCGTCTTTCAACGTGACGTCAAGCTTCTGGAACTGAATTGTTGCGGAGGATTTCTGAGTAGGAATTAGAGCAATCAGGTCGAACGCCAACCTGTCGATGACAGCTTCCAGACTCACAAGAGCATATCTGATGGGCTCGAAAAACGGAATCATCGTGATAATGCCGTGCTTGCCGATGACCACATTCAGCAAGGCCTGGTGGACCTGCACGAATGTCGTCAGGGCGTCGACGACGAGCTGGGCATCAGCATCCGGAAGCGGACCTGAAGTGACGCGGTCCACCCTGATGATTCCCTCAGAAACCTTCTGAATGATAGTTGCAAATCCACTGGCGATGACCGCTCCCTGCTGAGGAGCGTTGAAGATGTTGATCTTCTGGGTTGCAACTCTGAGCTGATCCGACATATCTGTGACAGTCTTCAGTCCCTCGACGATCTTCTCTGTGGTGGCGGTGAGAGCAGCATCAGATTCAGCGGATGCCAGCGGGAAGCTGTAGGTGTCCTCGGCGTCTTTCAACGTGACGTCAAGCTTCTGGAACTGAATTGTTGCGGAGGATTTCTGAGTAGGAATTAGAGCGATCAGGTCGAACGCCAACCTATCGATGACAGCCTCCAGACTCACAAGTGCCATTCTGATGGGCTCGAAGAACGGAATCATCGTAAGGATGCCGTGCTTGCCGATGACGACATTGAGCAAGGCCTGGTGGACTTGTACGAATGTGGTGAGGGCGTCAACTACGAGCTGGGCATCAGCGTCCGGAAGCGGACCTGAAGTGACTCGGTCCACCCTGACGATTCCCTCAGAAACCTTCTGAATGATGACTGCAAATCCGCTGGCGATCACCGCTCCTTGCTGAGGAGCGTTGAAGATGTTGATCTTCTGGGTTGCAACTCGCAGCTGATCAGACATATCTGTGACAGTCTTCAGTCCCTCGACGATCTTCTCTGTGGTGGCGGTGAGAGCAGCATCAGATTCAGCGGATGCCAGCGGGAAGCTGTAGGTGTCCTCGGCGTCTTTCAACGTGACGTCAAGCTTCTGGAACTGAATTGTTGCGGAGGATTTCTGAGTAGGAATTAGAGCGATCAGGTCGAACGCCAACCTATCGATGACAGCCTCCAGACTCACAAGTGCCATTCTGATGGGCTCGAAGAACGGAATCATCGTAAGGATGCCGTGCTTGCCGATGACGACATTGAGCAAGGCCTGGTGGACTTGTACGAATGTGGTGAGGGCGTCAACTACGAGCTGGGCATCAGCGTCCGGAAGCGGACCTGAAGTGACTCGGTCCACCCTGACGATTCCCTCAGAAACCTTCTGAATGATGACTGCAAATCCGCTGGCGATCACCGCTCCTTGCTGAGGAGCGTTGAAGATGTTGATCTTCTGGGTTGCAACTCGCAGCTGATCAGACATATCTGTGACAGTCTTCAGTCCCTCGACGATCTTCTCTGTGGTTGCAGTGAGAGCAGCATCAGATTCAGCGGATGCCAGCGGGAAGCTGTAGGTGTCCTCGGCGTCTTTCAACGTGACATCCAGCTTCTGGAACTGAATTGTTGCGGAGGATTTCTGAGTAGGAATTAGAGCAATCAGGTCGAACGCCAATCTGTCGATGACAGCTTCCAGACTCACAAGTGCCCTTCTGATGGGCTCGAAGAACGGAATCATCGTGAGGATGCCGTGCTTGCCGATCACCACATTCAGCAAGGCCTGGTGGACCTGCACGAATGTCGTCAGGGCGTCCACTACGAGTTGTGCATCAGCATCAGGAAGCGGACCTGAAGTGACTCGGTCCACCCTGACGATGCCCTCAGACACCTTCTGAATGATGGTTGCAAATCCACTGGCGATTACCGCGCCCTGCTGAGGAGCGTTGAAGATGTTGATTTTGTTGGTTGCTACACGGAGTTGGTCTGACATTTCCGTGACGGTCTTGAGCCCTTCGATGATTTTCTCTGTGGTGGCGGTGAGCGCAGCATCTGACTCAGCTGACCTGAAGGGGACGCTGTACTTGGTCAAGGTGTCTTTCAGAATGTCATGGAGGTCAGCGAATTGCTTCTCTGCTTCTCGCCTCTGGGTTGGAATGAGCGCAATCAGATCGAAGGCAAAGAGTTCGAACGCGACCTCCATGTTTACAAGCGTCATCTTGATATGATCGAAGGAGGCAATTATAGACGGGAGCTCATTCTTCTCCATGAGAACTCTTAGCATTGCCTGGTGAGCTTTCACAAACTCCTTGAGAGAGTCAACAACGACCTCTGCATCAGCGTTTGGAAGTGCAGGTAATGTCTCATGGGTCATCTTTTCGATACCATGACCAACCTTTTCTGTGATGGCTGCTAGACCCTGAGCGATAATGATTCCCTGTTGGGGGGCGCTGAATATGTCGATCTTCTCGGCTGAAATCTTGAGCTTCTCAGCAGTAGTTGTGACTTCCGTAAAGCCATGCTGTATCCTCTCCGTGATGGTGGCTCCCTTGGATGAAGCCTGAGAATGGCGGAATGCCAAGGTCGTGAGGAGCAACATGATTACGGCCTTCCTCGAGAACGCCATTCTCAGATGTCTAGCTGCAAGACAAGATTCACGAAGAAGGAGAATCAGACAACAGTGTAGCAGCCAAATTCAAGTGTGTGTGATCAGGCAAGAGATCTGAAAAATGCTATCAAGAAACACCGCCAACAATTTGGTAGAATCAATTGAGTCAAACAGACGCTAAATCCTCTAGTGTCAACACTCTAAACTCATTTCTGCCAGTCTAGACTCTTGTTGTCGCTCTACATGAAAGCTGTGGAGTTGAAGCAGAAGCGATTGAGGCTGTGGTCTTCACCAGAAGCTGATGAGCTTGCCATCGTCAAGGAATGGGTGAGAGATAACTGGCTTGTTTGAATCCAATGCTCACTTTCATTGCTACTTATACCCACTCGGACACGTGGGAATCTGAGGCTGGTGCATGGGATTCCATGGGAGGCTGTTTGTACCTGTTTAGTATACTTCAGAAGCTTAAGGATGGAAAAACCTTCCAATCTTCCAGGTTTCTCTTTTCCAGGTCAGAATTATTTGCATATAGTTACTAAAGTCTAATTTGTACAGTCCTTGCATTGTCTGCAAGATTTCAACAAATTGGTTTCAGATTTGGCTTTCGATTCTCTCAAAATCTCCTCAATGTGAGAAGCTTCTTCTAAGGCTTGGCCAATAAGACTTCAAAATTAAGTAGACTATGTCCAGACGCTCATTAATGGCACGTAAGTGCAATTCACAAGAATCATATCTTAAATGTGATTCTTTTCATACCCACTTTCAGACCAGTTCTCTCGACAGTTGAGAAAAATATTTTTTTTTCATCTGCATGCATTTCTACAAGCCAAGATCTTCGATGTGAAGGAAAGCATGATGTGATGAGTTGTTTTCTCAATGTGAGCTTAGTTAAATTCCTCAAACCTAGTGAATTAATAGTTTCAACAACTTGGAGAATCGGCTTCCCCAATCCCTTCAGTGACTATACTTTCCTGTGAATTCGTCGGATGAGATGTCCCCTGCAGTTTTGACATTTCCAACGTAGATTCTCATCACTGTATACCGTACCATACCACTACTCCATGATTTAACTTTCAAGCATAAGCATGTACGATGATTCTCTTCCAATTTTCGGAGTATTATCGCTCTTCATAATCTCTCTCAATCTTCAACTCCTCAGCGTTCCACCCCTATCCTTCAACTTTTTGGACCTTGTGGTGTAACGCCGTGTCTATGCTCTACTGGTGCAATTTTGGATAGATCTACAACTGGAATCACAGTGTTCGCCTGCATCATTAAAAGGCATTCTATACCGAACGCTCATGATACTTCCAGTGAATAGTAGATCGCAATAATCAAGTCGTGGCCACATCCTCGTATCACGTTAGACAGTACATCGGCAAGGTTGTTTCTTTATCAAGTGTAGATCTCAGGCTCTAACCTTTCCCGACAAGATACACTACAGCCAGGGTGAGATGTATTGATCCTATCACGTGATTCGCTGCGAGCGAAATTAAACAAACCGAACAAAACTGCTCCAGAACTGCTTAGCCTAACAAGAGTAAAGGTGCTCAAGAATTGATGAAAGGTAAAGAACGTGACGTGAAAGAATTTTTTTCCAAAAAATAAGATAAATCACAATTCACACACACAAACGGGACGCAGTCTTTCTAGCTTCAGCTCGAAAGACTAGTTCCCTCGAACTACTCAATGAAGGTAGTTCAAGCATATAACCAAGATCAAATGTCCTCGTATTTTTACTTCTCATCATCTTTACATAATTTCAATCTGGTGAGAAATACACACAAAAATACAATCAACTTATTTCCTCGAGCAAGAAGAACATCTCCATATATGATTCTCTCTCTCAATGTGTTTCTCAATTCTCACACTCAGTTTTTCTTCAAATCCCCTACTTATCATGTAAAATATACCCTGGCTTAAGTCCGCAACTTGATCTGGGAAGTTTGGTGTGGACTTAATTGAAATGCGGATCTAAGGAATATTAGGAGCATCCCATATAATACTAAAGTTAATATATATATGAAACACAATTTTGAGTTCATTTGCAATCATGAGTGGACAACGTGTGGTGAAACACAAAGGCCAGGGCCAATGTCTTAATGACCATCAAAGAATAAAAATTATCACTTTATTAGAGCAATCCAAACTGCCCACTAATCAAGCATTGCTTGTCAAGACGATGTCGACGAGAAGGTTATTTGGAAATTGGAAGCAAACAAAGATGAGATTCCAGAACTAGCCCAAAGTATTGACCCAAGCCACTCAAGACTCCACATTTCGTGTTTCGCAATCATTGTTTTCTGAGCTTGAGAAACAATGTTACGAATGTCGCTTGTGTCATTTGTTATGCTGCCCAATCTCCTTAGCCACAAAGAAAAATAAATTGCCGAGGCTATGGAGATAGGTGATGATAAGTTCAAGGCTTCATGGGGATGGTTTACGAGATTCCGCTTTCGGTTTGGTTTAAGGGGCACAAACTTGTTTGGTGAAGGCGGTGAGGTTGACAAAAATAATCTTGAACCTTTGCGAGCTTTGGATGAGTTATGTGCAATTATCGACCAGTATGACCCAGATTGCATGTACAATATGGACAAAAATGTATTGTTCTTTCGACTAGTTACAAGTTACACCGTCTTGATGTCAAATGAAGATACGTCAACAATCCAGGGCAAGAAAAAAGCGAAAGATATCCTGATTCTTGTGGTTTGTTGCAAAGCCACAGGGACTGAACGAGTCCCTATCACCATGATGGAAAAGTCAAAGGAGCTTGCATGTATTTCAGGTAACACCTAGCCAATTCCGTTTCTTTAGTATAAGAACGTTTGGATTGATGTGTTGACGTTCAATAAGTGGTTCAATGAGGTTTTTTAGTCATATGTTCGTAAACATATTAGTCATAGGGTTCTCTTGATCCTTGATAACGCTCCTGGTCACTCATTTGTCTTTGAACGGAATGGTATCTGCATGATGTTCTTCCCACCAAATGTTACGTCGTGGAAGCAACCGATGGACATGGGCATCATTGCAGTATTGAAAAAGCAATACAAGTATTTGTTCCTCAAAGAAATGATTGCCTACCATGATAATCCGCAAAGTTTGAAGTATTAACTAGCAGTAGCTGTATTGTGGTAACCCACTTTTTGTTTTTGTACGGAATTTAAACATTTTTGGAAAACAGTTCCGCAGCAGCAACTGTAAATAGTAATCGATACACTAAAATAGAGTGAAAATGGATGATCGCAGGTCCATGAGAATCCTAGAGAACCATCGAGTTGGGCGCAATGTCCGGGACAGGCGCCCTGGCCCGAACAGATGGTTCCTACTGAAGGGAAGGGCCTTCGGCGCAAGCAGGAGAAAGCGCCCTTGGCGATAGAGTGAATCTCTCATAACTGTCTCAATTCGTAACGCCTTGATTTGTTTAGGGTCTTGTTGAAAAGAGCTCAACACGTTTATTCTCACGAGCTCAAAAATTCTTAGAACGGATAAGGGATCACTGAGTTATGAGTGTCAGAAGTTACTAAGATGGGACACCTTCGGGGCAACGCCTTCGGCGGTACACTCCTTCGCCTGAACGCCTTCGGCGCCAGCGCATTGATATTAGATCAACGCCTTCGGCGGACACGTGCGCCTTCGGTGGAACGGAACATCTGCGGCAAGAGCGCCTTCGGCGGGACAAGAAAGAACACCAGAAACGACAAGACGCATTGACTTCGGTCAACGCCTTCGGCGGAAGCGCCTTCGGCGACGGACTCCTTCAAGAAACGCCTTCGGTGATGCGGTAGAGTGCCTTCGGCGATGCGAAGAGAGTAAATCAAGAACCGGCCAGAGACGAAGTTCTTTGGCTATACGCCTTCGGCCATGCACGGGCAAGGCCAAGTCGACGGACACACGGCAGAATCGAATTCAATTTTCAGGCGTGGGAGTTCGCGCAACGGCGGAGCGTGAAGCCGAGCGTGCGAAGGAGGCCGTTACGCCTCCAAGCCGTAGATCAGACGGAAGGAGCGGACTTGTCGGGAGTCGGGTCTCGCACCGCATTAGATATTTTGGCAGGAAGTGGAGCGGCGACCGCGGCAGCAGAAGCCACGCAACCCAACTTCCGGGAGTCGCCGGGAAATTCTGTGGCGACCGAGATCCTCAATTCGGAGTATGACGAGGATGAGTCGAGCTCGGAGGAGCAAGAAGAGGAGTCGGTGCAAGGCACGCCGACAAGAGTCTTGTGCGAGTGGTACGCCTGCTGAGGTACCTTGATCGACAGGTGGCAAATTATGGTGATCCCCGCCATCCTGGATCCTACGTCGAATTGGTGCGCAGACGAACGCGAACCAAATTCAGGACCAGCAGTTTGTTGGCTTCCTTGGACGAGACAATCAAGGACTTGCGGTTGAAAAACGACGCCCTACGTGGACACCTCGCCATTTGGCGGAAGTTGCAAAAGGCAGTCAACAAGACGCGGGATGAGAAGTTCGACAAAGCGGAGAAGGAATTTGCGAAGCAGTGGGAGAAGCTCGCGGAGGATCTCGATTCTGAGCAAGCTCGAAATCGCATCTTGTCAGAGGAGCTTGTGCGACAGACACGGTTACTAGAGCAGTGCCAGAGCGCACGTCAAGCCGATGAAGAATTAATTCGTCACCTGCAATCGCAGTGCGGCGAATTGAGAGCGCAGCGTGCGGAGGCAAAGATGCAGCTAGTAGAGATTAAAGGAGATCGCCAGCGCGCGACAGATTGCACGCGGAAGGAGTTGGCAGAGCGAGTGAACCGCTGCCTCAGAGGTTACACTCACTGGGAAGTGGGTGCGCAGGAGAAAATCACACTACGCGGGTTAGAGATTTGTGCGGCGGAATAGATGTCGGATGACAGTCGGAGCCGACGGCGGGTCGCGAAGAGGTTAGACGCTTTTCTGACAAGGTCGCAAGACACCATTGCAAACCTCGAGGCAGAGGTGACTGAGGTGCTTCGGCGGCTGGGGTTGCGCAGCAGAGCCGACGATTGGTCGGGTAGGGAGTTTGTGCGCGGTAGTCTGTCGCGCAGGAGACATAGCAGATGACATGGAGTGTAGTGTAGTGTAGAGTGTTAGTTAGGATCTTAGGAGGTATAAAGTAGTTCAAGGCGTCTTGCCTTGGAATTCTTCCAGTTTCGGAAGTGCAGATCAGGAACTCATTTTCTCTGCGTGTTTGTGTCCTTAATCCTATCACCATGCAAGAGTAGCTACAGCTTGACGAAGATACCGCATTTTGTAGCTGAAGGCCTTCGGATGAATGTTCAGAGCTAGTGTACTGGTTAGATACTTGAGTAGTTTGGATCTACACCTGCGGGTGATTGCTGAATGCTAAGAGCTAGTAACTGGTT